AATAGCACTTTTAGCCTTTGTTATAATCAAAGAATAAATATATTCTCTCAATAATTTGAATATAAATTTAGTCTATCGGTTAAAGTGATTAATTTATTTCGTCCACTAAATGTAGAGCAATTTAAAATTAATTTGAAAACTGTTTGACTGCGTTTTATATTAAATTTCTTAAGAACGATTTTTTAATTTTCCTAGCCCAAATTTGTTTAGGTCTTAAATTGTAACCATTCCAAAAATTATGATTCTAGAAGAATAGACAGTGAAGATAATTCCAATAATTCCGAAAAGTGAGTCTCAACAAGGCATCAATCAATTTATGTAATTTTTAATATCCAAATGATTATTAGCAATCATGGTAATGTAGGATCTTGAGAATTTATATTGTAATGTATAAATTTTTATGGGTCCACTAAAAAGGCAATCAAATTACTCGAATATTGTAACATTGTGTGCCTAGTTGGATTTACGTAATTTTCAATTTCCAAAGGTTTGTTAGCAAACAAGGTGGAACCTTGAGAATTTGATAACATTGCCTTTAGAACCTCTATCAAAAAACGTTCTATTGTAAGAGCATCCCCATCAGGAAATTTTGGACCAGTTTTCGAGGAATAGTAGTTGAGGTGCAGGAGATAGGGTGAGGTGAGAGAAAAGTTGAAGTTCTTGCAGTAAATGGAGATTTTGGTTGCCAATGTCGGTCCCGCTTAATTTTGGATCTACTCATTTTCTACGCGTTGCGTAAAACATGCGCTCCCAGTGGGCGCGTGCGCGGCATGCGCACGTTGGGTGCGCTAAGGACTGTTTTTTTTTTTTAATTTTAGAATTAGTTTTTTTTCCCTCTCCTCCCATTTTCTCTATCATAATCACACTTGCAAAAACTCTTTAAAATCCTACCACTATTGAGGATGACTTAACACATTTTTACGGGGCACCTCAAGAACGGCAATTACAAGACTCAAAAATTGTAATGGTTTGTGCCGGATTAAAGTAATTTTCAACATATCAAAATGATTATTAGTTGTCAATTATGGTGGTGGGACTATGAGAATTTGATAACGTAGCCTCTAGAACCTCTATCGAATAACATTCTATTGTTAGATTATCCCCATTTGGAGATTTAGGACCAGTTTTTGAAGAATAGTGTGTGAGGTGGAGAAGAGAGGGTGAGGTGAGAGAAAAGTTGAGCTTCTTGCAGTAAATGGAGATTTTGGTTGGCATTGTGGGTCCCGCATAATTATGGATCAACTATTTTTCTACGCGTTGTGTAAAACATGCGCACCCAGTGGGTGCGCGAACGGCATGCGAACGTTGGTCGCATTAAGGAGTGTTGGTTTTTTTTTTCTAATTTCAGAATTTGTTTTGTTTATTTTTTTTTCCTCCCCTTCGATTTTCTATGTCCTAATCACACCAGCAAAAACTCTTCAAAAACCTACCACTATTGAGGATGCCCAAACACATTTTTATGGGGCACCACTAGAACGGCAATTACAAGACTAGAAAATTGTAACGGTTTCTGCTTAATCGGATTTAAGTAACTTAATTTCAATATATCAAAATGATTATTAGTTGTTAATTGTGGAGGTGGGACTAAGCAATTTTCAAATTAAAAATAATAATTATTAGTTGTCAATTGTCATTGTATGACCTTGAAAATTTGATTATAAAGCCTTTAAAACATTAATACGATAACAAACACATGACATTAAAATAGTAATTATTATTCAATTTGTTATAAATATTTTATTAGTCGCCATTAATCTTGAGATTCTCCATTTTCTTATACTTAATATATTGTTTATGTTAAGCATATGAAGGGTTGTATGGATTAGTATAAATACATGTGAAGGCTTAATGAAATAAAGTGCTCATGTTTGTGTTCTACATCTTGTGTCATTCTTCTCTTCTTACATCTCTACACTTTATAATCTTATATATAATCTCCGGGCAATTACCGTGTAATCATCACGCGAGAACTAACAAGTTGATAGGCCAAATTACAACACGTTATCAGCACGAATCGCCAACATATTCCTCGGTGAACGGTATGCTCGGACATGTTATAATACATGTTTTTATACTAGGCAAGCATGTTCATAGGTTTCATATAATACATGTTTTTATATGGCACATGTTGATTCTACACCTCTTGATATGATTATGAAATGCATGATTGGCCCGCATGGGTAGCTCAACTGGTCATAGAGGTGAAACTTTGGAATAATGACCAGGGATGGAGTCTCACCAGCGGCAGTGTGGGAGCAACCTTTCAAAGTGAGGGGGGCTTCTTGTGCACAGTGAGCACCGGTCTAGCCTCTATGGTTCATGTTCAGTTGAGTCACCATGATTTACATCCTCCCAAATACTCTGTCGGGCCGGGGTGTGGGGGGCCCTTAGGGTTGGGGTTCAGCCTTTTGGAATAATGAAATGCATGATTGATATGATACATATTGATTCTACAATTTGAAATATGAATTGCACATACTAGTTCATATATATATGATTGTGTAAATTCCTGAATATATATTTCCAATTTTATTTTTGATTCTTCAAATTGAAAGAAAAGCATGTGATATATATATATATATATATATATATATATATATATGTTTGTGTAAATAGAAGTGGCTTTTCGTATGAAGATGCAATATATGTATAATATTATTTTCATTTCGCATACTTTGTATGTTATATACCATATGCTGTAGTGCATTATTATATTTTTATGATATGTTGTTTGCATGTGATTAGCAATTTGTTTTTATGCCTGATTAGGCAATGAATGAATGATTTTTAATTAAGATTGTTAAAGTTTGAAATCTTTTTTAATTTGATCAAAGATCTAACAATATAAAATAATTATAGTAAATAAAAAATATCACTTTTAGCCTTTGTTATAATCAAAGAATAAATTTACTCTATCAATTATTTGGATACAAATTTAGTCTATCGATTAAAGTGATTAATTTATTTCGTCCATAAAATGTAGAGCACATTAAAAATAAATTGAAAACCATTTGACTGCATTTTATATTAATTTTATTAAAAACTATATTTTAAATTTCCTAGCCCAAATTTGTATTAGATCTTAAATTGTAACCATTCCAAAAATTATGATTCTATTAGAACAGACAGTGAAGATAATTCCAATAATTTCGTAAAGTGAGTCTCACCAGGACATCGATCAATTTATGTAATTTTTAATATCCAAATGATTATTAGCTGTAAGGGTAATGTAGGATCTTGTGAATTTATATTGTAATGTATAAATTTTTATGGGCCCAATAGAAAGGCAATCAAAGTACTCGAAAATTGTAATATTGTGTGCCGAGTTGGATTTATGTAATTTTCAATTTCCTAAAGTTTGTTAGCAATTAAGGTGGAACCTTGAGAATTTGATAACATTGCTGTTAGAACCTCTATCGAAAAACGTTATATTGTAACAGCATCCCCATTAGGAGATTTAGGACCAGTTTTCGAGGAATAGTAGGTCAGGTAGAGAAGATAGGGTGAGGTGAGAGAAAAGTTGAGGTTCTTGCAGTAAATGGAGATTTTGGTTGCCAATGTGGGTCCCGCTTAATTTTGGATCTACTCAATTTCTACGCGTTGCGTAAAGCAGTGGGCGCGTGCACGGCATGCGCACATTGGGTGCGTTAAGGAATGTTTTTTTTTTAAAAAAAAATTCAGAATTTGTTTTGTTTATTTTTTTTTTCTTTTTCCAACCCTCCGATTTTCTCTGTCCTAATCACACCTGCAAAAACTCTTCAAAAACCTACCACTATTGAGGATGCCTTAACACATTTTTATGGGGCGCCACTAGAACGGCAATTACAAGACTCGAAAATTGTAACAGTTTGTGCTTAATCGGATTTAAGTAACCTTCACCATATCAAAATGATTATTAGTTTTCAATTGTGGTGGTGGGACTATGAGAATTTGATAACGTAGCCTTTGAAATGTTAACAAACAAACTTTTTATTGTAACGTACAATTTTGTATGGGCCCCACAAGAACGATAATTGCATGACTCAAAAATAATAATAGTAGGTAGTTAGCTGGATTTAAGTAATGTTCAAATTAAAAAAAAAAATAAAAAATAAAAAAAATTAGTAGTTGTCAATTGTCATTGTATGACCTTGAAAATTTGATTACAAAGCCTTTATAACATTAACGGACGAAATTTGAATTCAAATGTACAGTTCTATTTGGGCACTAATACCACGACAAACACATGACATTAAAATAGTAATTATTATTCAATTAATTTTTTTATTGAAATGTTTTTTAATTTGATGAAAGATCAAACAATGTAAAATAATTATAGTAAATAAAAAATATCACTTTTAGCCTTTGTTATAATCAAATAATAAATTTAGTCTATAAATTATTTGGATACAAATTTAGCCTATGGGTTAAACTGATTAAATTATTTTGTGAACAAAATGTTAAACAATTTAAAAATAATTTGAAAACCGTTTACCACATTTTATATTAATTTTATTTTAAACGATATTTTAATTTTCCTAGCCCAAATTAGCTGTCATGGTAACGTAGGATCTTGAGAATTTATATTGTATTGTGTAATTTTTTGTGGGTCCACTAGAAAGACAATCAAATTAATCAAAAATTGTAACATTGTGTGCCTAGTTGGATTTAAGTAATTTTCAATATCCAAAGGTTTGTTAGCAATCAAGGTGGAGCCTTGAGAATTTGATAACATTGCTTTCAGAACCTCTATCGAAAAACGTTCTATTGTTAGAGTATCCCCATTACGAGATTTAGGACCAATTTTTGAGGAATAGTGGGTGAGGTGGAGGAGAGAGGGTGAGATGAGAGAAAAGTTGAGGTTCTAGCAGTAAATGGAGATTTTGGTTGGCAATGTTGGACCCGTTTAATTTTGGATCTACTCTTTTCTGCGCGTTGCGTAAATCATGCGCGCCCAGTGAGCATGCGCACGTTGGGCGTGTCAAGGAATGTTTTTTTTTTTTTTTTTTGAAAATGAAAGATTAATTCATTAAATCATGAATAAGAACGTTTACAAGGAACGATGGAGGACAATCTAACCACTCCCCGCAACCTGACACAGAAAAGGCCTCCCTAGCAACAGAGTCGGCGGCACAATTCGCAGATCGCTTAACACAACAGAATTTAACATCATCTATCTCCTCTGCTAAATTCTTAATATCATCAACTATGAAACCAAAAACTGCGTTAAAAGAAGGCGAACTAATAGCATTAAAAACAATTTGACTATCGATCTCCACATCCACACCACCCATACATGTTCCCTTCAACCAGCTCAGTGCTTCGCGGATACATAAAGCTTTAGCTTCCTTCACCATAAAGGCTCCCGGCATCAACATATTTTTGGCTGCAAGAAAATTCCCATTATCATCCCGTAGAACCCATCCAAAACCCAACAAATTGCTATTCTCATTCAAAGCCGCGTCCATATTTAACTTTAACCTTCCCTGCACTGGTTTGGACCACAGTCCCTCGTCTATGTACGCAGGCTGACACGCTTGCACCTCATTCGCACTCCTCCAGCTATCTAGGAAAAGCAAGGCCCTTTGTACCACAGTGTTCAGATAAAAAACAACCCACTTCCACACACTGTCATTTCGGCTACACCACATACCCCAGACGGCCATAACAAAGTTAGGCAATAAACTAGCATGTAATGTATTTATAACCCAAAAGAACCAATCATCCACACGATTACCCCCATAGGTACTGTTTTGTGGCATTCCTAACTTACTCCATAGGCGTGCTGCTTCAGGGCAAAAAGCGAACAAATGGAGACCCGACTCCTCAACGCTTCTGCACATATGACAATTCAAAGAACAAGCAACATTTTTAGATAATAGATTATCACGAGTAGGCAGGTAAGATGATGCTAACTGTAACACCCCCGATTTCCATACCGATTTAAAACTTAATCATGCTGACAATCTAACCATAAAAAACATACACAGCGGAAGTCTAGATATGAGATATATCGATGGAAAACGTAGAGTGTTATGCCACGTCTACACAACAGTGAACGCACAGGCATAAACAACATCAACATAATCTGTCTACAAAGGATAAGATCAACAACAACAAGTCTAAAGTCTAGCAAATGGCACACAGGCCAAAACATACTACGAGGATTGAGGGATCTATTCTATCCGTCTCTAGATCGCGCTCGACCCTACTCGGCACCTGAAAGAAACACATAAATATATGGGATAACGCCCGGTCAGCGAATGATGCTGGTAACCCACCAATACATGTGAAATATCATACATAGATAGGATATACATACAAAATCATTTGCGAAACGGATTATAGTATATATAAGTTCAAAGCCAAGAGGAGAAGTCAATCACAAGACTCAATACCACTCTAATCAAAGACAAGGGAACACATCCCAAGACCACAAGAAGTACAACCACACACAAGAACGGCTCAAGATGTATTCTACCATCACTCAGTAGAATAACACGCGACATGCACAACACAAGAGAATCAAGAAACACACATTGGCAACACATGCCTTCATGACATCACTCGTCACGAATAGAGAATTACATAACAATGGCAACACATGCCTTCGTGACATCACCCATCACGAATTGAGATGCCTTCCGTATGCCCGGTTCCAACCTTATGGCTACCCCCCACCTTATGTCTAGTTCCAACCTTTACCTCCAGGACCCCTGTACACCAAGTCCAACATTTTGCCTCTGAGGACCGTCGTCCCATCCACCAACAAACCACCAACAAATTTCACCAATTCATAGTACACGAGGGTACCGATCACACACATGGCAACACATGCCTCCCAAGAAATTCGTGAACCCATCACTCGGGTCACATCCTCCATAATCACGTCATGGCCACCACGAGGACCACTGCCGTACCTTGGTGACTAATGTCCCATACCATTAATCGTACAATCCAGGTACAGCCACACACACCACACCACAATAGAAATCAATCAACGGATCACAACGAAGATATGAAATCATACTCAATCAAGGAATGGATCACAATCTGACAACACGATGATTAACACAAGTCATCATCCACAATAGGAAGGGACAAACAACACACACGCTAGCATTTAAACACCGAACTAGCATGCTTATCAAACGGGTAAACCGAAAGTTGTTCCGAAGAACACACAAGACTCACCATGGTTCAACGAATCACAAAGTTGAATACTTAGCACGATTCAAGACACCAAAACCTACATGGAATCCTACCATATAGTTCTAGACATACGAAACATCAAGAAGACACTCAAATAGTTCCACTAAAGAACATTGGGAAGTCAAAAGACCAAATACCGAGTCAAAAGAATCACGGGGAACAAATCCCCGCACAACTCCATATATGTACCCGCGGGTGGACCCCCACCCGTGGTTCCACCCGCGGAAACCGATCTCCCACCAGCGGGTGGGGCGGCGGGTGGAGCTCTACTCGCCATTTCGCCCGCAGGTACACAACCCTGTACCAAAAATATCCCTTCGGGGATTTTCAACACCAAGCTCAAATTCAAGTCCAAAACATGCCAAATCTCACCAAATACAACAAAATGACTTGGATCAAAGGTATAGCCAAGAAATGGCATACAAGAACCCTAATAACAAGCTCTAGATATGCATTTTCACAGGACAATACATCAACACTCACATTTCATAGCAAAAATCACATGTAGAATCCAAGAAATCATCATATAGGTAATGAAAATAGATTTTGTAAAGCATGGGTTATCTCTTGTAGACAAAAACCTTCACTTAACACTTCTCAAAGCCTCTAACAAGGTTCACCTTCCACACCCACTTCAAGAACACACCAAAAGATCATAAAGATTTCATCTTATCTTTAGGAAAAGATACCTTAGAAAATACTAAAAACACCAAAGGAACATAGATCTTACCCTCCTAGATGCTCAAAGGTAGGAAATGTGGAATCTTGGAGGTAAACTTTGAAGATCTTGGAAAGTCTAAACTTAGTTTGGAGAGAAAGCTAGCTAGGTTTTTAAAGAGAAGGAAGAGCTCTTTTCTTGAAAGTGTAAGGATAGAAATGAAAGATATCTTCTAAGTTAGCTTGGAATACAATCATGAAAGGAAAATGTCCAATTTATCCTTACTAAAATGAAGAGGTGTAAGGGAACAAGGAAACCTACTCACAAAGCTTTAGGTACAATACCTTGACTTGGGTTGACTAGCCAATTACTAGTCCCCAACTATTGAATTTTCAAGAAATTAAGGAATTAAATTATCAATTGAATTAGGATTAATTACTTAATTAATCCCTTAATAGAATTCGGATTTACGGGGTGTCACACTAACTGCCAGCAGAAGCTCTTCACCTTCGGCGGTACTTGTAAATTCCAAATTCCGGTCCAAGGTCGTCCGTCCACAGCCACCATAGTAAGGTGCCTGTAACATGATTTAACAGTGTATGCCCCCTTCTGGTCCCAATGCCAAACCCACTGATCTCGTGGCTTCCATATACTGAGTGGAATATTTAAGATTAAGTTACCATCACGAGTATTGAAAATATCATACACACAATCCACATCCCAACCAGTACCTTGCATGTTCATGAGAAATGATACCGGGGCTTCATAAACTGACTGGTGCAAATCCGTTTCCACATAAGGGTTCTCGTCTACGGGCAACCATGGACCCGAGCCTATCATAGTCTCATTCCCATCGCCAACTGCCCTCCTGCAGCCCTCTTTCAAACAACTCTGGACCTCCAACATACCCCTCCAGATATAGGAAGGGTTATTCCCTTCTCTTGCATCAAAGAAATCACAATCAGGGTAGTAATGAGACTTAAACACCCGTGCTACTAGACTAGTCGGTTTCGTGATGAGCCTCCAAGCCTGCTTTCCAAGTAGGGCCTTATTCATCTCATGTAGGTGGCGAAAACCCATTCCACCACTAGCTTTAGGCTTACACAAGCCTTCCCAGGTGCGCCATTTAATTCCACGTCCATCCCCAACACTACCTGTCCACCAATACTGATTCATCAAATTCTGTATCTCACGACAAAGGCCTAGGGGTAACAAAACGACCATCATAGCATATGCCGGCATTGCCTGTATTACATTCTTCAGAAGTACTTCTCTACCTGTCCTGGATAAAAACTTGGAATTCCAGGACCTTATCCTAGCCAAAATCCGCTGCTTCAGAAAGCCCAAGATGGCCTTCTTCCTTTTGCCACTAGAGATGGAAAACCTAGGTACCTTCCACTAGTCTCCCCCTCCTCAACTCCTAGAATATCAACCACCTCATTCCGCATATTCTGTGGCACATTAACACTAAAACAAGCAGCAAATTTATCATAATTAATGCACTAACCAGAAGCCATGTCATAAGTATCCAACACATACCTCATCTGCACACTCTCTTCAATATTTGCCCGATGAAACAGAAAGCAGTCGTCTACAAACAGCAGATGGGAAATAGATGGGGCATCCCTTGCCACAATTACCCCATGCAAAAGATCCATAGACATCCTCTTCTCAATCATGGCGCTCAACCCCTCCGCTACAAAAAGGAATAAGTAGGGTGATAAAGGATCCCCCTGATGGAGACCCCTACCTGGTATAATCGGCCCTATCTGCTGCTGATCATGGAGAATATGGTATTGGACATAAGTAACTGTTTCTAGCAAAATATCAACCCATCATCTGTCGAAACCCATCTTAAGCATTACCGCCTTGAGGAACTGACACTCCACCCGGTCGTAGGCTTATCAAGTTTCAAAGCCACAAGGCCCTCACGACCTTGGGTCTTTCGCTTCAAATGATGGTGTACTTCATAGGCTAACATGATATTGTCAGTAATTAAGCGCCCAGGAATAAAAGCACTCTGCGCATGTGATATCAAGTTCTGCAGGAGGGACTTTAACCAGTTAGCACACACTTTCGCCGCTATTTTATATACGACATTACATAACGCAATTGGGCGAAGGTCTTTCATAGTCTCCGGATTCGTTTTTTCAGGGATCAAGACAATGAGAGTATCATTTGCCTTTTGTGGGAACTTGGCCGAATTCAAAAAATCCCTGCAAAAATCTGTTACTTCCCCACCCACAATGTCCCAAAAATACAGGAAAAACCCCGGTCCAAAACCATTAGGAGCTGGGGACTTATCCGGGTGCATCTGAAAAACTGCGGCTCGCACTTCTTCCATACTAAGAGGACGCAACAGCCATGCATTATCACGCTTCGTAACCTTCTCACTAATGGCATCAACAACCTCCTGCATCTCCCCATAATCTGGCGCAAACAAGTCAGTAAAGTAGTTCATCATGACATTGTCCAACCCCGTAGCATCCACAACCCAGCTCCCGTTTTCATCACGCAGCCTTTTAACTGCATTCCATCGCCGCCTGGCCTTTACAGAATTGTGAAAGTACTTACTATTAGTATCCCCGCCTTGATACCAATGCTCTTTTGCTCGTTGTTTCCCGTAAGAGTGCTGTTGTTCGAGCAAAAAGAGCAATTCCTTCTCCACTATGGCATACTCACGTAGATTGGGCTTATCACGGTATGAAATCAACCCCTCCAACCGACGTTTATTGTGATCTATTTTACGTTGGAATTCTTTATTATAATTCCGTCCCCATCTCGAGATATCCCGGGCACAAACCTCGATCCTATCAAACGTGTCCAGCACGACTGTCCGGTTCCAACTATGTGTAACAATCTCCCTGCATGTTTCCTCCCGCATCCACATATTTCGAAACAAAATCTAGCTCTCTTCCGGGCCCTGGGATGCATTACTGGCGTTATGATTAGGGGTAGATGGTCACTGTAGATGGGTGGGCAAGGACTGTGCCTGAACCCCCTCAAACAAATTTAGCCAACTGTCATTCGCTAGGATTCGATCCAACTTCTCTTCTATCATGCGACTCGTACCACGTGACTTTACCCAAGTGAATTGGTGCCCACTGAACGGGACATCCTGCAGCCCACAATCTGCTACTACCTCCTTAAACCTGTTTATTAACCACTCCGGATGGCGGGACTGCCCATACTTCTCTGACTGATCCAAGAGATCATTGTAATCCCCCATAATCAGCCACGGCAATGGTGAACGCGATGATAGGGTGAGCAACAACTGCCAGGCCTCCCGTCTACGTGTCCTCTCCGGGTACCCATAATATCCTGTGAAACACCAACAAGGACTGCCCACATCCAACCTTATCTCCGTATCAACGTGATTAGAGGAATAGGCCGTTACTTTCAAATCCACACTATTAGACCATAGCATAGCCAACCCACCCCTGTGCCCCTCCGCATCAACCGTGAAAACACTATCAAACCCCAACTGAACCCGAATAGACTCCATACGCTGTGTATCTACAAAAGTCTCAATTAGGAAAACCACACTCGGCCTCTTAGAGCGAACTAAGTCCGCTAACACACAAACTGTCGTCGGGTTACCAAGCCCCCGGCAATTCCACGTTATTAGACTCATGACTCTAGGCGGGCCTGCGCCGCAAGACCCGCCTCCAAACCATTTTTTAACAAAGTAGAATCACAAACCATTCGATCATTTTCAGAATTTGTTTTGTTTTTTATTTCTTTTTCCCTCCCCTCACATTTTCTCAATCCTAATCACACCTGCAAAAACTCATCATAAACATACCACTATTGAGGATGACCTAACATATTTTTATGGGGCACCACTAGAACGGCAATTACAAGACTCGAAAATTGTAACGGTTTGTGCTTATAGGATTTAAGTAATTTTCAACATAACAAAATGATTATTAATTGACAATTGTGGTAGTTGGACTATGAGAATTTGATAAAGTAGTCTTTGAAACGTCAACGGACAAAAATGTTATTGTCACGTACAATTTTGTATGGGCCCCACAAGAACGATAATTAAAAGACTCAAAAACAATAATAGTAGGTACGTAGGTGGATTTAAGTAATTTTTTAAATAAATAATAATAATTATTAGCTGTCAATTATCATTGTATGACCTTGTAGATTTGATTACAATGCCTTTAAAATATTAACGGACAAAAATTGAATTCTAATGTACAGTTCTGTGTGGGCAGTACTAATACAACGACAAACACATGACATTAAAATAGTAAATATTATTCAATTGATTTTTTTATTGAAATCTTTTTTAATTTGATCAAAGATCAAACAATATTAAATAATTACAGTAAATAAAAAATATCACTTTTAGCCTTTGTTATAATCAAAGAATAAATTTACTCTATCAATTATTTGGATACAAATTTAGTCTATCTATTAAAGTGATTAATTTATTTCGTCTACAAAATGTAGAGCAATTTAAAAATAAATTGAAAACCGTTTGACTGTATTTTATATTAATTTTTTTAAAAACGATATTTTAATTTTCCTAGCCCAAATTTGTATTAGATATTAAATTGTAACCATTCCAAAAATTATGATTCTAGAAGAATAGACAGTGAAGATAATTCCAATAATTCCGTAAAGTGAGTCTCACCAGGACATCAATCAATTTATGTAATTTTTAATATCCGAATGATTACTAGTTGTCATTGTAACGTAGGATCTTGAGAATTTGATAATGTAACATTTGGAACCTCAATGGACAAAAAGTTATATTGTAATGTATAAATTTTTATGGGCCCACTAGAAGGACAATCAAATTACTCGAAAATTGTAACATTGTATGCCTAGTTGGATTTATGTAATTTTCAATATCCAAAGGATTGTTAGCAATCAAGGTGGAACCTTGAAAATTAGATAACATAGCCTTTAGAACCTCAATCGAAAAAAGTTTTATTGTAAGAGCATCTCCTTTAGGAGACTTAGGACCAGTTTTTTAGGATAGTGGGTGAGGAGGAGGAGAGGGGGAGAGGTGAGAGAAAAGTTGAGGTTCTTGCAGTAAATAGAGATTTTGATTGGCAATGTAGGTACCACTTAATTTTGGATCTACTCTTTTTCTATGCGTTGCGTAAAACATGCTCGATCAGTGGGCGCGTGCACGGCATCCGCACGTTGGGCGCGTTAAGGAGTCTTCTTTTTTTAAAAAAAAAATAATTCAGAATTGGTGTTGTTTTTTTTTTTTCTTTTTCCTCCCATCTGATTTTCTCTATCCTAATCACAGCTTCAAAAACTCTTCAAAAACCTACCACTATTGAGGATGCCCTAACACATTTTTATGGGGCACCACTAGAACAGCAATTACATGACTTTAAAATTGTAACTGTTTGTGCTTAATCAGATTTAAGTAATTTTCAACATATCTAAAGGATTATTAGTTGTCAATTGTGGTGGTGGGACTATGAGAACTTGATAACGTTGCCTTTGAAACCTCAACGGACATAATTTTTATTGTAACGTACAATTTTGTATGGGCCCCACAAGAATGATAATTAAATGACTCAAAAACAATAATAGTAGGTAATTAGCTGAATTTAAGTAATTTTCAAAATAAAAAAATACTTATTAGCTGTCAATTATCATTGTATGACGTTGAAAATTTGATTACAAACTCTTTAAAACATTAACGGACATAAATTGAATTCTAATGTACAGTTCTGTGTGGGCACTAATACGACGACAAACATATGACATTAAAATAGTAATTATTATTCAATTGATTTCTTCTATTGATATCTTTTTTTAATTTGAACTAAGATCAAACAATATAAAATAATTATAGTAAATTAATCATTTTTAGCCTTTGTTATAATTAAAGAATAAATTTAGTCTATTAATCATTTGGATACAAATTTAGTCTATCGATTAAAGTGATTAATTTATTTCGTCTACAAAATGTAGAGCAATTTAAAAATAATTTGAAAACTGTTTGATTGCATTTTATATTAATTTTATTAAAAATAATATTTTAATTTTGCTAGTCCAAATTTGTTTTAGATCTTAAGTTGTAACCATTCCAAAAGTTATGATACTAGAAGAATAGACAGTGAAGAGTATTCCGATAATTCGGTGAATTGAGTCTCACCAGGACATTAATCAAGTTATGTAATTTTTAATATCCAAATGATTATTAGCTATCATGGTAACGTAAAATCTTGGGAATTTATATTGTATTGTATAAATTTTTATTGGACCACTAGAATGGCAATCAAATTACTTGAAAATTGTAACATTGTGTGCCAAGTTGGATTTACGTAATTTTCAATATCCAATGGTTTGTTAACAATCAAGGTGGAACCTTGAGAATTTGATAACATAGCCTTTAGAACCTCAATAGAAAAAAATTCTATTGAAAGAGTATCCCCATTAGGAGATTTAGGACCAATTTGTGAGGAATAGTGGGTGTGGTGGAGGAGAGAGGTTGAGGTTCTTGCAGTAAACGGAGATTTTGATCTGCAATGTGGGTCCCACTTAATTTTGGATCTACTATTTTTCTGTGCGTTGCGCAGAACATGCGCGCCCAGTGGGCGAGTGC